TTGGTTTTTTGAGGCAGGGTCTCACTATGTAGTTGAGACTGACCTGGAACTCACTGTGTAGCCCAGGCTGGTCTCAAACTCACAGCCATCCTCCTGCCTCAGCCTCCCACGTGCTGGGATTACAGGCCTGTGCCACCACGCCTTGCCATGAGCTATTTGTCTATCGATATTGCTTCATTTTCTCAAGGTGTCAGAAAGGGTATCATTCACACCCAGTAAGACAATGAGGTGAAAATTACAAGTATTCTACAAATACCCTTGCCTAATAAGTAATAAAAATAAAGTATTAATAAACTAATCAGTGAGAACAGCAAAATCCATGTTTTTTCAACAACAGAAAATATATGAATTGTTAGTAATATAAAACCACAAATTGAATATGACAAAAAGTTTCACAAAATGTTTTAATAAAACTAGTATGGTAGAGCAAAAAAAACAATTGCCAAAAGAAAAATTAAGATTACTTAAAGCAACAGATTTTCTACTGGTTAAAAAAAAACTTAAAAGAAAATGAAACTTTATTCCTCCTCCAGGATTCAAATCATTCTAAGAATTCACCTCCTACACATGAGTACTGTCTGGTATTTAATCTCTAGATCTCTTAAAGAAATCATGTCAGTGTATCAGACAACCTTAAAAAAAACTCAAAAAGATTTTGAAAACAAACTCTGAAATTAGAGATATTTTGTACAGGTATATTAATGAGATATAGTGAAATTCAATGATTTGATAACTGTCCAAATAAGCTCATGGGAGATATGTTTCTCTTATTTCTTGAATGACTATAATACAATAAAATCCAAAAGTAACTGTCCACACTGTAGGTAGAAAAATCATGCATCATGTTGCAGGCTGTGCCACTAATTTGTGTCAGTGGGTTAGGTGAGATCTAATACAAATTTTAAAATCAAAATGCTGCACAAAAAGCTTGAGGAAAATGTAACTGGCATTTTAAATTTAATTATTTTTTCAGACTATAATTATTATAATTCAAGTAGTTTAAGTTACATATGGAAGTTTCTCCCATGTCACTCTCCTTCATATAAGGCCTCTTCCTTCTTTCCCCCCAATATTTTCTTCCTAGTACAAGAGTTTGAAGTTCCAATCTAAATGTGATCAGGCCTTTCCTGTAGTTAGGTCCTCTTACCCAGACCCTGGTATAGCAAGCATTTAAGAAATGCTGAAGGGGAAAAGTGAAGGTGGAAAGAGCTCTAGTGTAACTCAAACATCAAGAATTAATCTGTTACCTCTTTCTACATCTAGAAGTTTTCCTAGTGTCTCTGCCTTGCTTCTGTCTGGGCATTCAAAGTATGTCTAGGCCAGGATGAAAGTTAGTATGTGTGCATGCTATACTTGCTGACTCTCTGATATCTACCTTACAATGCTTACTTTTTTTACTGTTTTAGGTGGATTCCCTAAATGTGACACCTATAATAGTTGCACATAAATTGAGATCACTCTGGACCCAGTGGCCATTGATTATAGAGACAGACATTATGGAAGGAATAACTTTCTAAAGGCAAGATCTATCATGGTTCTATTTTCCCCCTACTCTTAGTAGTTGAACATAACTATGGCATTTAGATCATATTAATTTTAGTAATAAAACTTGACTCTAAGGACCATGTACAAAGAATAAATGCCTGCCCAAGTCATGTTGTCTTAAAAATATGTTAACTTTTCAGTGAATGTCCTCTTCAGTTCTCAAAACAAAAGGCACTTATTTGCAGAAGGAGAACCATAAACTCACCCTGAATGATAAAGGAATAAACCATGTGTTATTTTGGTCGAGCATTCCAGGCAGGAATGCAAAGAGTTAGAGGCGGAAGTATGTATAGTTTGTCTTTAAAACATACATACGTGCTTTAAAAGAATGAAAAGAAAGAAGGGGAAAAAAGACTAATTAAGTGGTTTTCCTAGTCATATTTTTTCCTGTTTGACTTTCTAATCTTTACATGACAACACAATTTAGGAGGCAAAGACTGCCCTAGGTTGCAAAAACTGTCCTGTCAAGTGATTTCAAAATCATTTGTCCTGTCAAATGAAATTCAAAATAATTTAGAAGTCAGGCCTATGAAAAATTATAAAATGCGATGTCTATTAATCACTGAACACCTCCAAAATGTCTCTAAGAATTGCTCAAAGTCCTTTATACTTTGGTTTTTTTCCCAGTGTTGCCATGTTTGGGAAAAAAAAGTGACACGTTTGATAGTGTATCAGATCCACAAAAATATATTTAGCTCTGGTTTGTGAAAGTGTTTTATTATTGGGGAGGAGTGAGACTAGAAAATAGAGGGAAGCCTCAGAGCCCAATGCAAGAAATAATTAAAAATTAACTGGCTAACAGCAGAACCAGCTGCTATATTGCCTACTCAAAAAGTGGTTGGCTTTTATTAATTTTTGCATCATGTTTATTCAAGAATCACCCTGTTTAATTACTGAACAACCTGGGAAATAGTTTAAGATCTGTGTTACCACTCCATTGTTTTCTGCTGATGTTTTAGAAGGCATTTGGTTTTCACACAGAAACATCTTTCACTCATTTCATCAAATAACACCTGTACTCCCTTTCCACCACTGACCAATTTGAATTGATTTAAGACTCTTTGAAATAAGATGTTATGATGTAATTTCCAAGAAACAATTCTGTAACACCTGTGCCAAAACGCTTTGCTTTTATTTTGTAAGAAATTTCTAAAGTTTAATGACATTTCCTGTAGTTGTAGAAAAGAGCTGACATACAAACAGTCCCTGGCCCAAAAGCGAGGTGCTATTCCAACCACATTTTTTACTAGTTCTTTTCTTTTTTACAAAGTATTTTTCTTATTGATCTAAACAACCGTAACACAACCCAGAACTGTGAAGATAAAATAGGCTTGGAATCCACCAGAGCTTCACACTATTAGTTTTTCCCTTGAAAACCAAAGGCCACATAGCCAGATTCATATTTCTCCTCCAGAAACTGTTAAACGCCTAAGGCCAGGGTGTTGAACGAACTGAGTTGATTTTCCTTTGCAGATCACCCACCGCCTCCCGCCAGCCGGAAGCGAAGAGCTGGGGGAAAGACTACAATTCCCAGCAGGCACCGCGGCAACGTGTTCACCCACGCGCCTCCCAGACTCTGGAAAGAAATAGCTTTGAGGGGCTTCTGGGAAATAAGCATGGCGACATCTGGCGTGAGGTTTGCGGTAGGAAGGCTGTTTAAATTGACAAGGGGGCTTGGGCGCCCAAGTCGAGTTTACAGCACCTCCCAGAGTTTTGCTGAGGTGCTACGGCTGCCGAAGAGACAGCTGACGAAGCTAGTGTACCCACTGCAGGAATTGGAACAGTACCTCGTCCCGGACACGAGGCCTGACCTGCATCTAAGGATCTTCGACCCTAGTTTAGAGGACATCGCGAGAGCGGAGAATTTCTTCGCTGCCACCACCACTAACCGCATCGAGTACCTCAGCTCTGCTGTCCGTCTCAGCCACGCCCCGGAGCTCCCTAGGCCTGAGGTGAGAGCTGAAGGAGCGGACGGTTCACCTAACAAAGTGTTAACTGCGCGGGCCGAGTCCGATCTGCCAGCAGCCGGTGAAGGCTGGTGCGGGGCTTTTACTGTCACTTACTGTATTTCTTGTTACCTAGCAGGACATAGTTTTTAGCTTGGTGTGCACTTATATATTATTTTAAATAAGCATATATGATAAAATAAATTTTATTTTAAAAATAAGCATATATGTGGTTTTAATTACTATGATAATGAATGTGGAAAGCTTTCGGACACGAACTAAGCAATCAAAAAGTTAATTCTGTCCTTTTTCTTATTTGAATTCAGGATAACATGCGCTGAGACAAATTAGAGTTTTGGCAATGAAGAATTGAAAATAACAGTTTCATGAATGAGCTACTTCTCGATTTGTAATTTTCACCCAATACAAATTTCCTAACATGTACAGAAATAATATTTACAGGTGGCAGTAATGTGGAAGATTTAAACTACTTATATCAGTGAAATTCCAGGTAGAATCCCATGCTAGGTATGTTCTACGATTTCATAATGCAATATTTTGTTCTAGGTTTGCTAAAGGCAGCTCCAAGAGCTTTGCTCTTGTAACTGCACCATTGCCCTGCAATTTTTTGAAGTGATATAATGGACTTTTTGTGAAGTCCAACTTTTGCGGGGAGTACTGGGGATCGAACTTGGTTCCTTGCGCTTGCGAGGCAGGCAGCAGTACCGCTGAGCCAAATCCCTGGCCCACAACTTATTTTTTTTTTAATTGAGTGTTATTTATATATTAGTATTGGATCTAATCCAGGTAAGAGCATTTGGAATCTGAGCAGGGCTCAGATCAATTTTTTTTTGAGGGACTGAGCAGAGTTTGAAAAAACTGTCCCACAGATGTATTGATAACCAAAACTGCCCTTACAGATTTCCCAAATGCCCCCCCCAGTGGGCTGTTCTGAGCTCATTAGAACAACTGCTTGGAGATGTTACCCATTTAGTACAGAACTTTGTTAAAAAGCAGAGCCTTGTGTACCGATGGTTATTATGGAGAATATTTTATTGCATTCCACAATGCAGATGAGAAATGCTTAATTGGAAAAAGAAGATCAAGGGAAAAACAACCTCTTAAATTGCACTGTTACCACAAAGTACTGTGGGAGTTCTTGAGAAAATGTGCTTCCAAACACGTGTTTGCATTTTTGAGCCAGTTGTATTGAACTAACATTTATATTTTTACTTCAAAACCTTTATAAATATGGAACATTTACAGATATTTTTCAGTAGCTTAGTGTAAAGGTAAGGGCTGTGTATATAAATGTCAATTGTAAACGTGTCAATGTAAATTAAAATCCCAGTATCTCTGCTCCCTAGCTGTATAATTTTGGATCAGTGTTTTTTCACATCTGTAAAATGGCAGCAATAATATCCACCTCATAGGGATGTTAAAAATACATAAGAAAATAAGGATATTGTTTTAAAAAATTAGAAAATAATGCTATACTTGCCATTTTGAAATCATTAAATATTAGCCCTGTGTTAGGATTTGAGGTTTGACTACCCACACACCACTCTTTATATAGTTTGGTGACATAATACAAATACAACATTAAATAAGTATTCGGGGCTCTTGGTGATCAGTTGTCTTCTTTTTTTTTCTTGTACAAGGTGTGTTTTATAGGCAGAAGCAATGTTGGAAAATCCTCGTTAATAAAGGCTTTATTTTCACTAGCCCCAGAGGTTGAAGTCAGAGTCTCCAGAAAACCGGTACGTTGAAAGTTTTTAACAGTCCAGATATCTGGACTATCTCTTCAGTTGACTAATATGATTAATAAATACTAGAAAGTACAAGAAATCATAATGACTAAGTACCTAGAGATTTCTTTCAAACAGGTAATAAAGATATTTCATTAACGTATGTGTATTTCTCTGGGGAGAAAAAAAGGAAGTATGCTGGATTTATTTTAGTAATCTTGCCAATACAGTGGATCCTTGACTTATGAACTTGATCCATTTCCAAGGGCTGGTTGTAACTAAGTCAGTACAGCTGAGATCTGGATGTTTACCTGGGTACCCACTATAGATAACGAGGCAGATGAATTTTCCATTAACCTAATTAACCCAAGTTATTCTTGAGGGTCGACTATATCTTAAAAGCTTCCTTTGCCCAAATCTTCCAAAGAGTTACAAATTGTTTGTCATTCTGTATTTCCTTCTGTAAGAGTGATCATCTAGTTCTACAATGATTTTAAGGGAAACAGCCTTAAAGTTTTTTACTTTAATTTCATTATAATCTTTTATACAGTACCAACTTATAAACACACATACATTCTTACATATAAAATAGTCAAGTATACTTTGTTTACCCAGGCCAGATCATGTGCTTATTACCCAGCCATACATTGTTGCGCTAGCTTTTTGTCATCTTCCAGTTCCCTCTGTTTCCTTCTCAATGGTGTAAATTCTGTGCAATGTCTCAAGATATCCTTTGCTCAAAACTCAACCCAATTGCCCTTACCTTAGTATCTATACATAGAAAAAGCTTTTCACTCACTATCCTCCACCACTTTCATTGAGTTGGAACCCTTACATGAACTCCTCTACTTCTCTTCTATCTTTTCCTGTGTCATGATCGAAATAGCTAGGATTATACATTGAGTCTTGTAATAAATATTTGTTGATTGAATAGAAAACATTTCAAGTCATGAAATACAGAAAGGATGAGTTACAAGTCAGCTGTTTTTTTATTTACTTTATCAGGGGCACACAAAGAAAATGAATTTTTTCAAAGTTGGAAAATGTTTCATATTGGTGGATATGCCTGGTTATGGCTATAGAGCACCTGAAGATTTTGTTGATATGGTAGAGACCTATCTAAAAGAACGGAGGAAGTAAGGAAAAATTTTCTTATAATAGTTACATATTTAGCACCAAAGCATGTTTTTATCAATTGAGTATTCTACATGTGGTGAACACTTGAATTTTACCAAATCACTTATTACAGGTTTATTTTATTCTTATAATATTCTACAATACAGTATTTAGGACCAAGGTATGATGTATTGCTTTTTGGTTTCCACCTGTTAGCCTGGTTTTAATGTCAAGGGTTTTCCTACATTGAAAAATAAAGAATACTTCAGCAGAGTTAGTTAATTTTTTTAAAACACACTCTTAGCTGGATAATTTTGAAAATGAAAATTGTTGGTTAATGGGATACTCACTAGATTTAAATAAACTTCAGCAAATTGTGATCATTCTTGAAATACCTCAGTCATCACATCCTCTGGAAAAAAAAAGTCTGTTTTTGTCTCCCTATGTAGTCAAGTGACATTTTCCACTTAATTGTACAATAGAGAAAAATGTTGTGTCTTGCTCTTGTAGTTTTACACAAAACAGATTAAATATTCGCAGAAGAAAATGCAAAATATGTGTCAAGTTTCTGTTATTCTAGTCAAAGTAATATTTAAAAAGTAAACATTTCTATGCTATGATAAATTGGATTTTAAGGTCTTAGAGAAAGGGGTTTACTTATCTTTATATGAAGTCCACAGCAGTTAAATACATTGCTGAAACAAATTAAAATATTTAACAAATTTGCTTATGAAAATAAATAACATTGAGACTCACTGGACTGTAGCATGAATTTACTGGTGGATTGGTAATTCCTTTTGCCTAAATTTTTAAAGTTTGAATTGAGAATTATTCAAAGGAGAATTGCTTAATATAATAAAAGTGAGTGGGAAGAATGAGTATATCTTACATTTCCATTAATTTTCTTTTCTACATTCTGTAGTTTGAAAAGAACATTTTTACTAGTGGATAGTGTTGTTGGAATTACAGAAAATGACAAAATTGCTGTAGAAATGTGTGAAGAATTTTCATTACCATATGTGGTAAGTGTTTCTTTTAACTCTTGGCTGCAGTTAGAATACAAGTTCTTTGTACTTATGAATATGTGCACACACTTTTTAATGAATGAGCAAGTTTTGCTTCAGGAGAAAGTATCTTCAAGTTCTGTGGCATTTTTATTCTTGTCTCAGTCTTGTTTTCAAAATTATAGCCAAAGTTTCTTAAGCTGTTTAGTGTTCCTAAGTACTTTTCATTTCTGTGTTTTTTAATGGAAATATAAACATTTGTCCAAAACGTGTTAAAAACTCTTTAATAGCAGCTTAGCATATAGTTTTTATCATAACATAAATAAAACTGTAAAATAAGTGTAAAAAAATTTGCTGCCTAATAGTAATTTAAAGTTTGTTCCAAGAACATAACAAGGTCCTAGAAAAATGAGTAGGATTTTTATATTTATAGAGACAGAATTTCTTCTGGAAATACCTTCCTATTGTTCTTTTGTCATGTGACCAAGAATAAAAAACATATTAGTATATATTAGTAGGTTGGTATCTACATTGTAATACTTCCAGATAAAATAGCACTCTTTTTAAAAAAGAAAATCCATTAACTTTAGTTTTGCAAAAAAAATAAAAGAAAACCACTAAATTATATCAGTAGAGTTTAGTGTAATCAAACCAGGCTACTCGTGAACCACTTTTGTTGTATCTTTGAAGTTAACAAAATTCTGAGGGTTTGCAAAAAAGTCCCTTGAAACATAAGGAATAACTTATAAGCCATCAAAGGATTGATAATCTACATAGCAAAAGTATCTAAATAGCGCCAGGGCCAGGGATTTAGCTCAGTGGTGCTGCTGCCTGCCTCGCAAGAGCAAGGTCCTGAGTTCGATCTCTGGTACCAACCCCCCCGCCAAAAGTACCTAAATATTGTCAAACTGATTTTATTAAATAATAGTGTTCCTGATGTAGCATAGGTACCAGTTTATGAAATCACAAATTTTCCCTGTTTTAACTTAAGGGAAAATAATTACTTTTTTCATGAATTGGGAGAGAGGAATTATATCTCCTTTTAAATATCAGCATATCCTGGATTTAGTCCTCAGCACCACACGCACATACACATACACATGCATACTCCTATAAAACAAAGATAACTTTAAATGTTGGGCTGGGGATGTAGTTGAGTGGTAGGGTCTAACACTTGTCTAGTATGTGAAAGACTCTGGGTTCAAACTTCTACCACCACACACACACAAAAAAAAATCCATATAATTATCCGCACATTTGCCTTTATGAGGAAAGACTCCAATTTGAGGTGATTCACAGGTTGTAAGAAGCCACATACTTTCTACTTTCCATTCCTGCCATTAGCATTTCTTATGACTAAAAGTATAAGTGATTCATTAGAAAATTTAATTTTATAGCCAGGGAAGCGTGATGGATTATGGTTTTTACTTTCAATTTTATAATCACCCTTAATTTGACCTTCCTCCACTTTGTATTTGTATTTGGACAAATAAAATAATAGATTTACTGGAATTTTAACTATAAGAGATATGACTTACAAAGCTTCTAATTTTTCCTTTCAGAAGTATTATAAGGCTGAACCATCAAAATGTTTACAAGTTATTAGTCTTATATGGATCAACCCTAACAATATTAATTTCTGTATCTTAAAGTCCAGGATATATTGTAATCATATGAAACAGCTAATGGCAGTTACAGATATGGCTGGAGGGCCCTTCTCATTCATTTTCAGACATTATATATAGCCTTATATAGTTAGAGCACTGTTAAACAGAAAACACATAGAGAAAGTGGGACATCTGGCTTCTGAGCTGGAACTTTCTCTATAGTAGCGATGAAAGAGTGTGAGCATCAGACGCAGAAGCCGCAGTAGATTTAAAAATGGGTGATGTTGAGAAAGGCAAGATTTTTGTACAGAAGTGTGCTCAGTGCCACACTGTGGAGAAGGGACGCAAGCACAAGACTGGCCCAAATCTCCATGGTCTGTTTGGGCAGAAGACAGTTCAAGCTGTTGGATTCTCTTACACAGATGCCAACAAGAAAAAAGCATTAGCCGGGGAGAGGATACATTGATGGAGTACTTGGAGAATCCCAAGAAGTACAACCCTGGAACAAAAATGACCTTCGCTGGCATTAAGAAGGGAGAAGGGCAGACTTAATAGCTTACCTCAGAAAAGCTATTATTAAGTAATAGTCACCGCCTTATTTATTACAGAACAGAAATCTCATGGCTTATGTGTACCATCATTTAATAGATCTCATACAACAGAATTCAGATCATGAGTGGCTGACAGAATATTTTTGTTGGACAGTCCTGATTTAAGTAAAATTGGCTTATAGTTAAATAGATATCTTTTTTTTTCAACTTTTGATAGTAATTCCAGTTCAGTATGTACTATCACTGTTTCCTTTTCTAAATATGTGATTAGACTTGATTAGTAATATTCAACTTTTCATAAAGATGGAGAATATTATCTCAGAACCTACTGGAGGTTAGCTTTATATTTAGATTTATATAACTGGTCATGTGAATATGTTTAAATACCAGGGAAGTCTTTCACTATCTCAGAACCAAGCAAGACTCCTATTTCAATTTGTTTTTTAACCTGTTAAAGGAAGTGGTTGAAGACAAAGAAGGAACATCTCTATTTTTTATCTTGACTATGCCAATTTAATTAGAATTCCTTGTATCTACAAACTGCTGCCTTTTACTTACTGAAAGGCATTTTAGTGTGGTGTTTGTATAATACCAAATAAAGAATATTTAACATTTCACACATTTTATAGTTGGTCTATAAGTTCAGATCCTTTTAAAAGTCACCATGATACAATAGCAAGTTAGATTCTATTTTTGAGTTAAGTTGGACTAAGTTATTATTCAGAATAGTATTTTAACAGCTATTTTAAAACACAAAATTGAAATTACTGTTTTATGTGTGATTGGTAGTGATGCTTTTTTGTCAGCTCATTAGAAGGATTAAAGTGGGGAAGGTACACCATCACCAGAAATTTGTATGTGACCATAATAATTAAAAACAAAATCAGATTTAAAAAAAATTAAACACATAGTATATACTTTATTATACACAGGAAGTTATTTACTATTCAGCTTCTTTATGGAAAGTTTTTATTTTATAGATGAAGAACTAGATTCAGAGAGATTAAAATGTGTTTTAATTCTTATGCTTAAAATTCTGTTTTTTTATAGATGGTATTAACAAAAATTGATAAATCTTCCAAAGGACATCTTTTAAAACAAATACTTCAGATCCAAAAATTTGTTAATACAAAAACACAAGGATGTTTTCCTCAGTTATTTCCTGTAAGGTAAGACTTGAATTGTTAACTTTATGTACTAAAATCCTTTAATATGAAATCAGTGTTTCTAAATTGAGGTATCACTTAAAATTTGGACAACTATGCAATAGCCATGATTTTTTTTATATAACCCATTAGTACTTCTATTTCCTATTTCCTTCTCTGTAAGTACTTCATTCTTTCTGTCTCAGCCTAGCTCAATCCTAGACCAATACAGAAATGAAAATTTTTAAAATAGCTACAATAAAGATGCCATCATCACTTTTTAATTTCAAAAAACAGCTTATCTGTATGGTACAAAGTTCATTCAATTTTTTTTAAATTTATTTTTGAAGAACCTTACAGGAAGAAAAAAAATGTTTAAGTTCAGATTAAACAGTGGTAGCAGACAGAATGGGTTTTTCCTGAGTTGGTAATTTTTGAGATATTATGATCAGGTTTTTATAACAGCGTAGGTGTGTACTTTCATTGTGTATCTTGGGTACAGTAATATGTACAGCCCTACTCCTCTCTGATTTCCTCACTCAGACTTCTCTGCGGAAGGGACTATGTTAGTTTCCATGAGCAGGAAAAAAACAAAACAAAACACTTTCTTATATATAAAACTGTCCCATGAAGTCATTTTAGGTCCTAACAAACTTAGATTGTAATTATGAGTATGGCTATCAGAATCCCTCTTTATTCTTACAAAACACTCTTCTCGTTTGACTTAAATTTGGGTATCTGTCCTGCTTATTTGTCTTTGTCCCACATATACAGTAGAAATTTCTAGAGGTGGGACTAAAATTCTCCTTCTTAGGGCCCTGAGCATTATCATATAAAAATTATTCTTCAGTAGTTTTTAATAGTGTCATATAAGAGCTATTTCTTTTAACTGTTAATAAAGAGGAAGTATGAGACTTCAGCTAAAAAGGTAACAAAAACATATGGTAGCAAGGTATGGCTAACCAGCAGGATTTGTTGAAAAAATTAAGTTTTAGTTGACCATCTGCTGAGTTTAAATAAACAGTATAGCATGGCTGGGAAAGAAAGTTTTCTTGGGCTATGTCAGTGAAAATAAGTATTCACAACCAGGGAATGATAAAGCAATGGTCTTACAATACTGTAGACCATAGCTACAACTACCTGAAAACAAATAGTCTTCAGGAATGTTAGGCACTAGATCATTCAAAACACTTAATTTATCTTCATGATAAACATGTTCACAGGTAAGGTTACAAGTTGGAGAAACTGAGTTGCAGAGAGTTATTTGCTCAAACGGAAAGAGCAGTAGGTAGCCATGGTTTTCATAGCTAGCTTCTCTATTTCCTGGCTACCAATTTGAAATAACTTATTTTCCCTGAGTCTCTTTTCTCCCTGCTAAAATTGTGATCAGAAGGATCAAGGAGAACATATTGTGCCTATTAATGCACACATAGGCACAAAATGTTAGTTTCCTTCCTTTCCACTGGTCTTTGTCAGTAAATGGCAGGTCAGATCTATGACCCAGGTTATCAATTGGCTGTATGTTTTAGGGCCTTTTCTTCTTCGGATATGCCAGCTTTCTGTGCTAGGTGACCCTGGAGTCACTGCTGTCACTGTACTCACCACTGGTGACCAAGGCACTGCGGGCCACATAGCATTAAAGAAATCTAAGAATTAGAGATGGGAAGCATACTTGGATCCAAGAGCTTCAACATTCATTATAACACAGTCAATATGTAAAAACAGTTCTCTCTTAAAATTCCATGTAGAAAATAGAGATGTATATTTTTTGCTGTTACTTGCACAACCAAACCTTAGGCCAGTGGTAGTGAATGTCACATTGGGGTGTTTGTTCTCATTGAAAGTTCTAAAAGGTTACTCACCATCACTATCCTAGGCCCTCCCTCCTAAAGGGAGCTTGACCTATTCACAAGTGGTTACTGTAAGTTGTGTCTCCTCTTGTGTATGCTCATGGTAGGAGACAGGTAAAGTTTATTTTTCAAGTCTTTAGGAAGAAGTGAAGTGTTTATGTTCATGTCTGAACTTTATGTCTAGCAAGTTAGAAAAGTACAAATGATGAAGGGACCCTAGGATTGATGCTGGAATGAGTATATTTTATGATATGTAAGAAATACCACAGTATAATTTCTTTATTTTGTAGAATTTCCAAGTAGACAAGGACAGAAAATTTTGAGTTGACAAAAAATGTTGCACAGATTCATAGTGCCACAGTTAGTGTGTGAACCATCCAACTTGAATCTCTCCTTTAAATTTCATGACTTCAGCTGTAAGAACCATTATTGGCTGTTCTTTATTTAGTTTTTATTTTGGCTTTAGACAAAAAGTCTGAAATGCTGTACTTTATTAAAAAGCAAATTAGCAATACAACAGGAGATATTTTACGTATATATAAAGCTATATAGTATATTTATGCCTGAGAGACCAGATGGTCAAACTCCGGATGGATGGATGGATGGATGGATGGATGGAAGGAAGGAAGGAAGGAAGGAAGGAAGAGTGCATAGATAGGTGGATAGGTGGGCGGGCAGACAAGAATATACACATGGATAAATAAAAGTCACAACAGTAACTTGGATTTTTTTTTTTAATCTGAAAAAAGTGCTAACTTATCAAAATGATTGAATTTTTGTCACAAGAACTGACAACATCAAGACAATCTGGGAAAAAAGATAAGGTAAATTTTTAGCATCAGAAGAAAATCATTATGAATCATCAGAATTTAAAATATTATAAGTGGTTGGGGGAAGAGAGGAACAGTAGAAAAAAGTAAGATATTCTGCTTCATACATGAAATCATTAAGAATTTGCAAATAACTTTAATGTAAATGAATTCAAATCTGCTACCACCTCTAAGAAAGAAAAATTGTTTTTCTTTTTCCACAGTACTGTGACCTATTCTGGAATCCATCTGCTGAAATGTTTTATAGTAAATGTAACAGGAAATTTTAATGGTTCCCACTTTAAATGAAGTTTCAAAATTCTTTGAGCCAACTCGAGTTAAACACTTGGAAGAATTTCAGTATTATTTTAAATGCTGTGCTTCTAAAATTTGCACAAGGATCACTTCAGCTTTAAGACCTGCATCTTCCCAAAGCAAGATGAATTTATGCCTGGGCAGCAGGAGAGTATAAGTAACTGAATTATGCTGTTCATTGTAACAGATACTAGCTGGTTTTCCTGTTGCAGTAAACTGACAAGAGCATATAGAAACATAAAACAAAACCTGTTACTACTATGTAGAGAAAGGTTTGCCATGTTATTTATAGGTCTTTTGAAAATGTCTATCATGTATTTTTTAAGATATTAAAATAGACCAAAAGCAGCTATTTTTCTGTTGATAGGTAAACTGAAGAATAAAAGCTCATATATATGCCTGTAATTAATCTTTTTTGAGTCCTTATTTGAATATTAAAAGAATTATGTTTGATAAACTTTGGTCTGTAAATCAACAGATTGGTTATTTGTTGGAAATACCATTCATTTCACACTGGAATCATTCACCTTCAGGTGAACACAGGATTTGGAGCAGGAAGATCAGAAGTAGGAAGACCCAAGATTTAAAAAGCAGGTCATGTATACTGCTGTTGTAAATAACCTGAGCACCTAATACTACTTTCATCCTTTATTCAAGATGCTTGTGATCAGAAGTATTTCAAATCTGGAAATAAATATCAGCAAGGGGGACTTACTGGTTGAGCATTCCAAATCTCAAACTCTGAAATCAGAAATATTCTAAAATTGAGCATTATGTCTGTGCTCAAAAAGTTTCAGATTCTAGATTTGGAGATAACTGTTAAAACAGGATGTTTAACAAGGGTTCAGGAGAGAAGCTAACCCACTTTTTATATTAACTCTGGATTTAGTACTCTTCAAAGGTTCTCTCCATTTTTATCAAAATCACCTGGACTCCTTTCTTCTTAAAATAAATATGCAGATTTCAGTTCTATCCCCTAGTCCATATTTACCAATCTCTTGGAAGAGGCTAGGAATCAACAACTGACCAAGTGATTCTCTACCAGTTCAAGAATCAGTGGGACAGGTAAGTGGAAAAAGACAAAACGCAGGCAGGGCAAAGGCTGAATGGAGATTGCCAAAGAAAAGGATGCATTATATACTAAGAGTACTGTTTTCTGTAAGTCTGTATGTAATAAAATTTAAGACTTACAGAAACTTAATTACATAATTCTACTTCGAACATTGAAAATATACTTCATACTTCACATCATCATTTGGAAACACGTTAAATATGCCCTCCTGTAACAAGGTAAACAAATTAAGAGAAAGCGGTTGTAAATTAGTAGCAAAATTTGAGTCCTTTTGATGATAGCGCCCATCAGAAACTATTCCGAAGTGGCCCTCCTGTGATGGTGCCAGTGAAGCCAGAGCCACCCTCTGGGATGTCTCCTTGCTACTCCCCCACCTCACTCCCTGTTTAAGGCACAGAGGCTTTTGGCAAAATTAATTATTCAGGTCTTAATTCCCTGGTAAATTATGAAATTATTCAATTTCTCAGGGACACCAGTCTCAGTTAAGGAATAACATTTCTAAAGACACACTGTGACAGCTTTTGTTTGTTTGGTTTTTTTTTTGTTTTATTTTTGAGACAGGGTCTCACTATGTAATTGAGAGTGACCTGGAACTCACTGTATAGCCCAGGCTGGTCTCGAACTCACAGTGATCCTCCTGCCTCAGCCTTCCGAGTGTTGGGATTACAGGCGTGCACTACCACGCCTGGCTTAGCCTTTATATCCTAACACCTGACACATAAAGCCAAATAAATACTTGGGGATTAAGTGATACATAACTACTTTAAGGGCCAGGGATGTAGCTCACTGGTGCCGCACCTGCCTAGCAAGCCCAAGGTCCGGAGTTTGATCCCCCTAGGCAATGCCAAAAAACCCAAAAACTTCAAATGTTTATTGAACTGAAATGAACTCTTGTGGGATGTTACATGGAAGGAGCTCATCTCTGAGCCTAAGCAGTAGTATTTCAAGATCTCAGCAGCTCCACTTAAAACACAACAATGGATCAACTTGTTAACTGCTTAAAAGTAAATGAACATCTACACTCCCATTAAAGCAAAAATGTCATCAATGTCATCTGTCTCTTTAACAGTTCCTGGCTTATTTTCTTTGAGTATTTGCATCTTTGTCCATGAAACAGTTTGACTTTCACGGCTTCCTATAAGATTTCCATGAATCTGATTCTCCTTAGCTTGTGTGGCAGGATTTGAAAGTCTGCTACTCAACAGCTGCTTACTGTTAGGGCAGCGATCAGTTCTCTGACCTGTGCGGTGTGAGAGTCTCCACTTAGTACTGGTATCCACAGCACTCTTCAGAGGTTCTTGAGGAAACTGCTGAATTTCCTTTAAAAGAGTTGACTGCAACTTTCTTTGTGGTTTCCTTTTTCTCAGTAAAAACTTATTCTGTGATCTTCTTTGTCTCAGATGATGCTTTGAAGTTTTGATACCTGAACCATGAAGAAGGCAGTTGCAAATAGATGTTTTTATGCATTCTAGTTTCTTTGGCAAACTAAAGGATAAAGAAGAAAAACCAAAAGCTTTTTAAAATACCAAAAAATTCTCCATCACTATATCTGATTTCTTACTATCTTCCAACAGAAAATACACAATTTACTTACAGGTGCTATGCCTGTATGTATAATTCCAGGATCATAACAAAAAATAAATAATTTCAACTAAATCTGTGTTCTCAGAGCATAACTTCTCCCTGACTCAGGTTGAAAGCAGAAGTGTCTCCATTTTTCCCTCAAAGTTAACTTCTAAAGTAAGACACCTCCATTATTTAGTACCAGTTTTCCTTCATAGCTGATAATCTGTTCATAATGTAACAGAAGTAGAAATGGAGAAACAGCACAAATTTTTTAAATTGCCAGTATGTAATAATACATATCTTGATAAGCAACTTCTTGTGGTAGGAATGAACAAGGAAAAAAAATATGAGTGAAGTTTATAAAACAGAAGATGGCTTGTGACACAGACTGTCAGCTTTTAACTTTACAGCATGATTTGTATCATGTCATCTTCAAGTGCAGAAAATTCAAAACAGCTGGTTACTCTGTTGTTTTTTTTCCTAAAGAGGATGTACTACCCCACTTTGTGAGTGAAATTTTAAAAGATTTATATAGGTCTGTGCTTCCTATCTCACCTCCCTCTCGCTTTTTAAAACAAAAATTAAAATCTGAGGAGGCCCATTATAATGAAGCAATATATAATCTCTGCTTCCAAACCATTTTCTTATCTTACTGTAAGCAGTGATCTTTTAAGTGGGGGAAATGGTGGGTATGTACATCTGAGTTAAAATGGAAAGAGAATGAAAACAGGAATCAGATGAGTTTTAGATATCCAGTTCTAACACCTAGAGAAAAATCCACCATTTTCTCATCTATAAAATAGGAATACTGCCTGCCTCACAAGGTTAATGTAGACATTAATACATTGTAAGAGTGTACTACAGAAAAATATTAATGAAAGAGCGCTATATTTTGGGAGATACAGATTAATGGTTTAACCAATAAACCCAAGTTTTTATCCCTTCATTGACTTAATCATTAGCATCTGCCTTCTCTACCCTTGAACAAATGCCTAAATTTCCAACCCTAGAACAGAGCCCTTTTAGATCTGTTTTACAGGTCTCCAGGGGGTCACAAGGTAAAAATCCCTCTAGCAATTCATCCCTTAGGCATAGTCAAATTTTTTCCACAGCTGCTAGGTAAGACTTGTAACAAAAGCTTTGTTGGGTGCCAGATTTTCTTCCTGAAACAAAAATGTATTTTTCATAGTTTTTAAAAATTAAATTTTAGCCGGGCATGGTGGCTCACACCTGTAATCCCAGCACTCAGGAGGCTGAGGCAGGAGGATCACTGTGAGTTCAAGACCAATCTGGGCTACAAAGTGAGTTCCAGGTCAGTCTCAACTACATAGTGAGACACTATCTCAAAAAAACAAACAAACAAAAAATTAAATTTTAGAGGGCTGGGGATGTAGCTTAGTGGTGTTGCACCTGCCTGGTAAGCACAAGGTCCTGAGATCAATCCCTGGTACTGGGGGGGGGGGCTTACAAAAAAATTAAATTTTAGATATAGTTGTTCATCTACAGGAATCAGTAAAGTCTATAACTAACAATAAGAGATTATGGTACATATATGGAATATTGTTTGATGGACACACAAAAAGTCAAGCAAATGACTACCTCTGTAAAGGGGGAATAAGGATCTTTTATGTTTCCATCTGAAATTATTACCATTGGCATCTATTTTTCAATAAAAACAAAAACCCTGAAGTGTCTTAACTTCATAGAACGCTTCGTGCAGTACTGGCTCACAACCCTAAACATGTCTAAATTTAAGAATCACAGGAAAGGAAGATGTCAGTTTGTGGAGTTTAGCTCCTATGAACATCAAACCTAACTCTGATCCTGATAGCACAGAATAGGCCTTCTGCACCCACAAAGACATGGTGCAGAAAAACCCACGAAAGCACGAGCTTCCCAAGGACTAGGTCTGTCTCACGTAGTTGTATCCCAGGATTAGCACACCACAGACATTCTTAGTGCTTTCTGAATGAACAAACGAGAATGATGAGTATAAATGATAAAGTCCAGTTCACCTAAATTTATTTTCTGCCTTTCAAGGATTAACTTTGCTTACACAATAAAAACAGATGAAATTACACTTTGAGTAGATCTCACATTTAGTACCTGAAGGCCTGGCAGACATCTCTCTTTTAAAGAAACTTGAATATATATAATTTTTATAATATACTTACCTATAACCTTGAGCTTCTACATGTTTAAGCCGGTTACTTTTAAGAAGTTTGCTACCCAGAAAGGTGACTTGAGCTTTGAGTTTTTTAGTCCTGCACCATACAACTGCCATTTGGATTTCTTCAGAAAGTTGTTTGAAAGTCTTGGCCTTTCGGAATCTCTGCACAAAACTTTTGGCATAGAGAGTTCCTATCACTTTCTGAGAAGAATGTTTGGTTTTTTTTAGTTTGGATTGAGAATACTTAGATTCAAAGCTGGTCTCCTGAAATGTGAAAAGGTATGAAAATATACTGACTTCTACTCACAAATATAATAAGGAAATCTGAGTTACTCACAATTTCAAAATAATATTTTTAAAAGGAAGATTTTTCATTTAGTGAAGAAAGACTTTTTCACCTAATGAGCTTTCCTTTTGTCTTAACAATTTTTTTATCCACTATTCCTGATACAACTTTCCCCTCACTCCTGCACACCGTACTAACACAAGGCCCATCTGCTACTGAATAAAATGGACACAGGAAGCTCAATACAAACATTGATGTACATACCCAACACACACACAAGAATAAAATTTCACATGACTAAATATTGCTCCAAGCCTAACAGTGAGAAAATAAATCACTGATGGGCCCTTCACCTCTGTTACTGGACTGTCACATTTGTTTTTAATTTATTCTATCCTGAGTAATCCTCCTCAATGATGGGTCATACATGTTACTGAAGATACCAAGGTGAAGGGGGTCCATAGAGCCCTGCAAAGTGCTTGGCAGAGTAAGCCTATCAATCAGTTAATGAACAATTACCTAATATGTTAAAAATGTTTAACTGAGCATTTCCAATTCTGCTTAAACCATTTCTAACAAGGCACCTTTATTCAACCCTCTTTTTCTTTTTCTTTTTTTGGTACCAGGGATGGAACTCGGGCCCTCGCACTTGCGAGGCAGGCGCCAGAACCACCGAGCTAAATCCTAAATCCCCGGCCCTCAACCCTCTTTTTCTATATCAAGTTTAGATTTTACTTTTACTATTCCTTTATGAAAATATGCCACCTACCAAGTCTGCTTCTAGTCTCCATTCAAAATGTATCTTCTTTCCAAATTTCTCACACCCAGCAGAAATTTATAGAAGCCCATCAATATTCTGTTTGGTGACCAGTAAGAGACTTTCCCTAAAAGCAAACTGAGCATGTTGGTGCCATTTGCTAAAACTACTGTCGTGATTACTCTTGAATAAGGGATGCTGACCAACCATCTTCAAAACCACTTTCAAGGGTCACAAACCACCATGGTTCTCCCTGAGACACAGAAGTAAAATAACTATTTTGGAGACTGGTGTAATGGTAAACAATACAGACTGAAACCAAATGGCTTGTATTGTGTGGCCTGTACAAGTTGATCAGTCTTTGTATGCCACAATTTTCTCATATGAAATACGGAAACAGTAATAAAAGCATCTACTTCACGGGGCTTTTTTGAGGATTAAGTTAACCCATATAGAGCAGCAATGTCAGGGACAGAAAGTATTCGCTATTACTATTATTCCTCCCTCTGAACTCATGAATTGGGCAGAATTAAATGCAGGCTGGAGTCTGTAAAAAGTTCAAGAAAGAAATACTTACTAGAAATGATTAAGAATTCTTAAAAAGAATGGAAGAACTAATCCCCAAAGCAAGACAAAAGTCAAGTAATGACTGGGTGATAAAGAGTGGCACTGACTTATTTATCCATTAAGTTCAGAACAAAGAGAATTTACAGGCACTAATATGAAGACTCGTGTTCAAGCTTAAGCTTCAATAAGAGGAAAATAGAAGCCTCATGACAAATGATGACAAAAATGCTAACAGTTGCTAAAAACATCTAACATGAATTAAATGTTTACCATATACTTTAGACTCAGTTGAATGCTTTCCATGCATTAAAACTAACCCAACCCTATAAAGTATATTCTATTATTATAAAATGGAAAGATGTAGGGCTGGAGATTTAGCTCAGTGGTTCTGCCACCTGCCTCACAAGCTCAAGGTCCTGAGTTCATTCCCCAGTACCAAAAAAAAAAAAAAAGATGTAACATTCAAAGCACTTACAGGTCACACAGCTGTACAAATCTGAGCCAGATTCAAACCATCTGTAAATCCCAAACTCTTAACTGCAGTACAATCCATACTTATGATGAAGCTTATGGTGCCTTTAAAATTCTAGAGAAATTCCTACCAAAACATTCCTGAAGGCATTCTAGTAACTGAGTTCACTGGATGCATTTTTAAAAAATCCCTTGTCTCTATTCATTCAAAAGTACACACCGATCCAGGAGTGGTGGAGATTACACTCCTGTAATCTCAGCTGCCCTAGAGGCTGAGACAGGAGAATCACAGTTCAAGGCTAGCTTGGGCAACCTAGCAAGACTGTCTAAATAAATAATGTTGGGGATAGCTCAACACTCCGTCAATTTAATCCCCATTATCACACAAAAAAAGAAGGGGAGGGAAAAAGATGAGGGGAGGGGAGGGAAAAAATAGAAAATCACACACTGAGAACTAGAGACACCAAGTTTAGCTGGGAACAAAAAGAGAAGGAAGATTAAATCCTTTCCTTTATAAATAGCAAACATCCTTTACAAAGTAGCAAAAATCACAAACTGCATTCAATTTAGCCAGACTAACCTGAATAGCTTTGTGTTTTACCTGTTTGCAGAAATCTCTTACATCAAGTCCTGATGACTTTTCTGTGAAAAGGAAAATCACAGATACAAAATCTTAGGCATACTATTTTCAAATCACCAACAAATTTTTAAGTGAGTTAATTGTTTTGCTGGGTTACCACAAAAGAAATAAAGGAAATAAAGCAAGCAAAAAACTATGAAGGAACAAGTGCTCAAGCTCAGAAAACAGGTAACCATACCTTTTTAAAGATAATCAGTATAGGTTAACATTAAGAAGAGATACTGAATTATTTTTATATAATTCATGCTTTCAAAGGGTTTATTTAATTAGAATATGTGTTATATAAAAGCAAATTACCTTTGAGGACTCTCTTATTCTTTACTGGCTGTCCAAGATCCTCATTATTCTGTACATTAATCTTCATCTGTTTAGCCTTTTTGGAAATTCGAAGTAAAGTGTCTTCACTTGATCCTGGTGATTGCTCTTTTTTACAAAATAGTTTATTCAGCAACTTAGTTACTCCTTTAGCTGCAAAAGCTGTAGGCTTTTTTTTCTTAAAGATTTCAAGACAGGGCTGTCCTAGAAATTCGGTAATATCAGAAGGAAAAGTATAATCTTTGAAGTAAGGCATGGGTTGAATCCTAGAGACCTCTTGAAGCAATCCAAACAATGGCTCATATAAAGAAATCAACCTTCTTAATACATCTTTATAGAGAACCCTAGAAAGAAAAAATGGATTCATACATTGCCTACTACTAACAATTTGCACAACACATAATAAATTTCAAGATTTAAAACTGAAAATACTATCAAGCTCTGCCACTGTACATAAAAAATACTGTGTATCTGTAAGTAGTCAAATTAATCCAGCCCAAACATAAAAATCCAAGCACAAACTGTTTCTCAAAAACAACTAGCTAGGGATATGTCAAAGGATGCAAAGAAAAATCCTGTGGGTAGTTTTATCTAGATCAGTGATAGCAAACCTTTTAGACACAAGGGCCCAAACTATAACCCAAACCCACTTATTTATCACAAAATGCCAACACTGCAAATAAGCCTGAATATTGAGGTTTTAGTTTAGAAAAAAAAAACAAAAAAAACCCATACATTAACATCCTTTGTCTTAAAAGGAAAACAACACACATGTCATAGGTTCACCACCACTGATCTAGATGATGAGATTTCAGGTAAATTTCAGGCTGACATTTAGTTATGTGTGAACTCCTTAAGATAAGCATGCATCACTACTGTACTCAGCAAAAATTAAATCTCTTTTCACTACAAAAAAAATAACAAAGGTTAAATATTATTAAAATAATGACTGGTAATTTAAATGTTATTATTTCTAAGAATAAGTAGGATAAAAAACAATATTAAAAACAGTATGTGAGATAATCAGATTAAGCCATTAAAGCAAGGCATCTTCAATCACTGAAGACATAGTATTTTCTACATTTTTTCATTTTGTTACATTCAAATTAGAGCTAATGATTCAATTATGAGTCTAATTAGCCGTCAAATCATTTTCACTATGTATACTGAGAAATGCAACAGTGTGCCTCTTTAGTTTGCAAGTATGATTACTATTCTTTATATCAATAATACACCTCAAAAACTTGATGTTTCAGTTGGAAGAAAACTCTAGAATGCACATGGAAAGTCAAATTGTATTTTTCATTGCCATTAAAAAGCAGAAACCAAGTGACACAGAGAATCAAGTATATAGTTTGTAATAGCTAAAATTTGGAAACAACCCAAATGCCCATCAACTGGAGACTGGATAAAGATGTGGATTTTCTATAAAATGGAGTACTACTCAGCCATAAAGAATGAAAAACTAGAGACATTTATAGCTAAATGGATGCACAATGAGACTATATTCTTAAGTGAAATAAATAGAACACACTTGAGTAAATGCCAAATAGTTTCTCTGGTGTGAAAAACTAAAAATGTAAATAAGGTTCAAATGGTACAACTGATAGTGTGAAACAGGAAGACAGTGCTAAAGGGGAAGTGGGAAGGGTGAGGGAAAGGAAAGAAGGGAAAAGGAAAATGTGCAAAAAGGAAAAAATGGAAACAAAGTCTTTGTAAATAGGGGTGAAGGGAAGGCAGTGGTATGGGGAAAAAATAATAACCAAGACCTATCATGTAAAGGTACAGGATCCCAATGATAAATGTAACTATTATTTACTTTAAATGTACCAATAAACATAATGGGGGAAAAAAAAAGAATCAAGTATAGCCAGCCCAGGAATCATTTAAACAGCCCATTATAATATAATTACTGCCAATAATTTTTTATTATTACAGTTCCTATATCCTAGGAATTAATCTGTTTACCCATTTAGTGTTAGGTCAATCTCATGGGCTTCAGATAGGAAGCCTCGTTCTTTGTCATAACCATCAGCACTTACCTTCCCAATCTACTTACTACAAGTAAACTGGTAAGATGAATAAAGAGAATTCCCACATCTTCAACATGACATGAAACTATATGAAACACTAACAAGAAGGCTAGGCTGAGATAGAGAAATGAAGAACAGATGAAAGGTGTCAAAAGTATATACATACCACAATCTGCTCACCAGCCCAACCATGACAAGATTTAAAATAATGAACTCTCGTAATCCTAGGTGTTTCACAGTCAAACTGGAGAATCAATTTAAGGTGGGAAAACAATACCAAAGAAGTGGATTTTGCAAATTACAATTATGAGAGAAGAAACAGACTGGAGTGAAAAGAATCTTCTTGAAGGCATTAAGCCTTAAAACATGTTTTGTTAGCTGAATGTGGTAGCACATGCTTGATTTTCAGCATTCTAGGAGTCTAAGGCAGGAGGATCTCAAATATAAGCCCAACCTAGGCAACTTAGCAAGACTGTCTCAAAAGGAAAAAAAAAAATTAAAAAAGGGCCAGGGAGGTGGCTCACTGTGAAGGCCCTGGATTCAAATTACAGTGATGCTTTTAAAAAAATATAAACTAAATGATGCTTAAAATTAAAAAAAAAAAACAACTCCAAAATGTAAACTTAAAAATATATACACCCTAGAGATTTATTATTAAATATAGTTTCAAAGATTAAGAATTTATAACCCGTCAATACTTAAGATAATACATGTTAGAAAGAAACAGGAAATCTCTGGCAATGGCTATCCAGCATTTACTAGAAAAAGGAGGCCAAGACTAAATTTTAAGAATTCCCGTATTAGAACACTTTTACACAATCAGAAATACTGCCAAATATAACCAAACAGTTCCCACTCACAAGAAGGTTTTTCAGTATGTTCAAGGATACAGAAATGCCTTGTAGCAGCAATCCAACAAGCGGAGTAACAACTTGCAGACTCCCAAAACCTTCATCAACACCAACTCTACCACTGGTTGGCTGGGGATACCACATACTTTGATAGTCGTGGTCTGATTTTCACTGGACAAAAACAGAAAAGTACATTACATTCATTTTTAAATATAAAGCATTTATCTAACAGTTTTCAAGTAAAGATTTGCTTGGTAACATCTCATTGATGTTTCAATATAATCTACTGTGACCCTGATTTCAATGTCATGCTGGTCACTCTCACATACCAACAGAGGTAGATTTACTATCACAAATGCAAGTGCCCCTTATTAAAACAAAATTTGTACAGCAGAGGTATAATTGGTTACATCCCAAAACCAAAAAAAAAAAAAAAAAAAAATTCCAAAGGAGATCACAACAGGACATCAGGTGCCCATCCCATCACATCACAAAGCAGTGAACCACCTACTTGGGAGAAAACAACTCAAGCAAGTCTTCAATAGAGCCTTCCAAATCCATGTTTTTCAAACGTTTTAAACATTGCTCAACCTGAAAGAGCAAAAGCAGCTCAAATTAGTATGTATAGCACACAGGCAGGATCACTGATAGGACAAGGAAAGCAAAGAAACCAGACTTTCAAAGTATGAAAACACGCTAAATGTTACAGGATCCATTATTTTAATAGAAAAGAAATACAAATACCAAAATAATTGATTTTGGTTACAAATATGGAATTTATTCAGACCAACAAATTTCTGAGATTTCTGAGATCAGGCTTCAGAATTACGATATGCCAAAATGTGCCTCATGCTGTAACAGGGACCAAAATGTATAAAGTTAATTCTCAAGATAATTTTGCTGAGGTAACATGATTTCTAATAGTGAACTAAGAAAACAAGAGTAAGTTACTAATAATTAATAGTCTGTAAGTACTATTTCAGAGGTGAGGAAAGTAAGTCAGTCAATGAAAAATGTATGAACACCTACTCCATGCAAGATATACTGGGAAATAAAGTGGTATATGAAACATTTCCCAAGTTTTAGTAGCAAACTTAAGATGATATGCAAAATATTTAATTATAAAAAAACAGGTATACTTCATTTAAGATTACAATACTCTAGTCTTTGTTTTTCTCCATAGTACTTAATACCACCTGTTATACCACTGACTACCTTTCTCTCCAAAATATACTATAAGTTACACATGGACAACATATTTTGTTCATTACTATAACCCAGTTCTTAGAACAGTGTCAGTAGGCATTCAATATTATTTGTTTATTTAAAAAAAAACAAAGGCAAAGTCATGTAAAATCCTGTAAGAATTCTATAGTTGCCAGGAAATATCACACAAAAGAGATGCCTGGAACTCCATCTCCATTCTGAAGGTTGTAAAGACCTGGAAAGAACTATACTGGTAATACTATCTTCCTAAAGCTATGTATATAATACTAAAAATCCAATCAGTCATGGATGCTTTTGTCTTAACAGTTTTTGGAATGATGGCAGCAACAATCCTTAAATTCTCAGGTCAATTTCTAACTTTTTCAAGTTTTAAATCTGCATTATCCTTTTTATTTTACTTTATTTATTTATTTATTTTTGGTACCAGGGATCGAACTCAGGCCCTTGAGCTTGTGAGGCAGGCACCAAAATCCCAGCCCTCAAGTTTTAAATCTCAACGCTGTTCTTTGAGAAAAAAGGCACTGACAAAGGCAGCAAAGTTCTTGGAACATAATAGGTCAACTATGGCTCAAAAGGAAACGAGAACTTTAGCAAGGATGATAGGACATAGAGGAAAATAAGTTTTCACTCACAAGAAGAATCAAGAATATTTTGTGCTTCACTTGGGGAAAGGCTAAAGAGAGACTGATTCTAGTATCTAGCCTTTGAAGCCAGGAAAAAATGAGCTTTAAAGGATGTAAAAATTTTCTGTAAACTGTGAAATGTTAAGCAGATATAAAGCAGTAGTAGTAGTGACAACAGCAGGAGGAGGAGCATGCGGCATACTAAGGGTTCCTGGGGAACACTAAAAAGGTTACTGTACCAAAACACAGACTGTAGCAAGTGTTGTAAAATAATTACAAAGAAGAGTTCCAGATAGCCAATCAGGGAAAAAAAAAATGTAACTTGAAATGGAATTACCATAACATACACTCAGTGTTACACCTTGACCTTGGACAGAAGATTATCAATACCAGGAAGCCTTAAAATGGAACTTAGAGGATGAGAAAGCTTTTTACAGGCAGGCATAGAGAGGGTGGTCATTCTAAACACACAGGACCAGAACAGCAAGGACTGGCAAGAGGAAACAAACGTGATAAGCATGTATATTCATTAAGAGTTCAGGCTGTTTGGAATACAACATACCAAAGGCAAAAGAGAAGCCTGAGTTAAGAAGGTTGAAGATGCCAGACAATGGCAGATCTCATAACCCAAGCTGAGGAGACTGCTGTTTATTTAGGACACAATGGAGAAGTCTTAAAAATTAAAGTTGCTTAAAGATGATTAACCTGGTTTTGGTGTATAAAATATGCAACGATATAGGAATACTACAGGGAGAAACAAAAATCAAGGTAAGACAACTCCAAGTTAACGTGGTCTAAAACAAGAAAAAGGCAGAAGCAGAGACTAGAAGCAGAGAAAGTTTTGACTTGTTAATGTGACTTACCAAATGAGCTACGTAAAAGAAAAACAACAGAATACCAAATTGTATGACTGGTATGACTTGTATGAATTGAATTATTCATAATCCAGAAGCAAGAAGGGGAAATATGTACAACTTAAGAGTTAAGCAGTTTGCCTAGGTATTAGAAAACTCAGATAAAAGCTCCTCTACAGAAGAAAAATGAGGAAAAGACCATGAACCCAGATCTTTCCTTATTGAAGAATGCTTCATACTTTTTGCCTTAAGTTATTAGTTGTATCTGTAAGGTTAGTGACTATGTATGTCTAGACTCCTGTACAAATAGCATCAAGCACAGTCCCTGGCACAGAGAAAGTGGCAAAAACTACTTGCAAAGTAGCTCTGTCATATAATGGATAGCACACCAAACTTCCAAATATTACTTGCATAATTAATAAAATGAATAAATAAATGAACACCTAAGAAACTCAGTTTAAGAGGTTCTCCTCTATAGTGTAGCCTCCAAGGTGGAGGGTCCAATTTTGTCTTACACTCCAAAGATTATATAAAGTCACTTTGATGGTTGTTTTTGTTTTGTTTTTTGGTACCAGGGATCGAACTCAGGTCCTTGTGCTTGCGAGGCAGGTAACAGAACCACTGAATTAAATCCATGGCCACATAAAATCACTTTTTACAACTTGCTAGATGCACAATTATTCCAGTGTACTACTGATTAGATTATTTATTCTATAATGAAGTCCATAATTTTGTTCTTTTTACAGTTTTAGGATTTTAATTATGTTCAAAAAATTGTTTCTTAAAGTCCAACATTTTGTCTTGATCGAATCACTTTATCTTCGAACTGGGCAAATTCACTATTATATACATTGCACATATTGAAAAACTTTTTATTTAACCCACTAAAAATGAATAGGAAAGAATTACTAAAAAAAAAAAAACTTCCTTTAGAATAAAAATTATTTTTTTGAAGCAGTTTTAGGAAAGCTGTGCAAGAGGGAGAGCCCACATGGAAGAGTGGTTTACAGATCTATAAATCACAAGTAATTTACTGAGATTTCCATCAATTACAAAATAGTAAGTGGCAGCATAAGTTACATCTCCACAAAAATAGCAGGCTTCCTCCCTACCTGTCTGAGGGCCAAATGAGGTTTGTGACGGCCCATTCTGTTGTGGTTGCTGTACAGGACCGAACATAACACATCTGTTTCTGCATCCAAGGTCTGGCTCCTCAGAGACTGTGTGATGAGATGGCATTCTTTAATTACAGCTGTAATACAAAGTTCTGAAACAGAGATGTTTAATGAGACTTAGTGTGTATTTCTACATTGTGTATATGAAAAAATAGAGTGAAAAAAAAGTATCTTTTCTTATTGCTTTAAAATCTTTTTTTAAAAATGAATCAGCCTCCATAAACATAACAAAGGATTCTAAGTATGCTGAGAAGCTGGGAAATGGTGATAGATGACATAAACTCCAGGAAATCAACAGAAATCAAAACAGAGCATCACTGAAACAAGAATATATTTGCTTTGCCTCATACTTTACCATTTAAGTAATCTTTCCTGTGACTACATTGTAGTCACGTGGGCACACATGAAGCTCCATTTTGTTATGCATGTAAGCAAGACAGAATGAAAACTTTCACAACCTTCAAAATAAAAGGAATTGTATTTGGATACCACTTTAACACAGACAAGAATATGCAGCCTGTGCTCCGTATCTATAGGTTCCACATCTGTAGATTCAACTAACCTCAGATGGAGAACACTTGGAACAAACTGAGTCTGTACTGTGTAGACATTCTTGTCATTAAAAAACACAATAAAACAACTATTCACGTAGCATTTACATTGTATTATAATCTAGAGATAATTTAAGGTATACAAGTGAATTGTGTAGATTTTATACAAACACTATATATACACCATTTTATACAAGGGAATAAGCAGGATGGAGTTCCCAAAACCAATCCCTCACAGCTACAAAGCATGATACTAAAAAAGAGAAACCACCGTGGCCACTGTAAGTTACAGTATTTGGTGAATGTCTAACTAAACATAAGTGCCTAGGTGTTTACTAATCTGAAAAGCTAAGAGAATGGCTCTAACGCAAGCATCAGATCATCTCATTAGGTGGGTGGAAGCAGCACAAAGGCAGATTTTCTACATAACATAGAAATTTTTCTTACTCATGAGATTGAGGAGCTGATTTATTTCCCATAACTAATTGGAATCCTGTTAATGGTTTTCTGAGCAGAGGAAGAAGACGGATCTGTAAATTTCATAAGACGGGAAGGGAGATGTAATTTGACTGGCTGTACTTAGTAACATAAATTTACTAAAATATTTAATATTAATAGCCGCCATCATCTGAGTGCTTATTTACCATACCACGTTGTGTTTCAAATGCTTTTCTTATAATATCTTTTATTTCCTAAATCAGACGTTAAGAGGCAGGTACTATTTTTATTCCCATCTGAAAGTGCACTGAGGAACAGAAAGGTTAAATAACCGTCTCCCAAGCTCCTATTATATCCCACTGACTTAAAACAGTCTTCATCATAGTCTGGCAAAGCACTTTAGTTCACAGAGCACTCGACCTGAAAGCCTATACGCCCATTAACCCCTTTAGGGTTAGGGAGATCAAGTTTCGTTTTATAGATAAGGAGGCGAGGTCCAAGATTATGATTAAGGTCCAAAGTGCTTGGGTGTCGCCCCCAGGTCCTTGAAGGCAGGAGAAAGGAAAAGGACAGAAAGGTAAGCTCGCGGGGCGTGACCCAACACAGGGTCCCAGGCAGCCCTTTAACCCGGTCCTCCGTCTGCCAGGCAGGTCCTGCCTTAGCACCGCGTGCTCTACGGACCACAGCCGAGCCAAAGCCCCACAAGGTCCGGCGCCGCTTCCCAGCGTCCCCCGAGCCCAGGAAGTCCCGCCCCCACGTGTTTCCTGGACCTAAGGCACCCCGGGAAACGTCGGCCTTCCTCCTACCCCGACCTCACTCACCCAAGTCGGAGCCGGGGTCCCTCACTGTCACAGTGCTGCGACTCCCGGCTTTAGGGATCCTCACGCGGTTCCACGGCTCCGGCACCGGCCGCACGGCAGCAACCATCTTGCACGGTAGGGGAGGACCTGGTGTGGGCGGAGCTGGACTACACCACTTGGTCTCTGGGGAGGTGCCAGGGGGCGGAGCCGGGAGGAGAGGGGCGGGGCCCGGGCAGGGCTGAAGGGGCGGGGTAGCTCAGGGTACGGAGTCCTAGACAAAAACAGTGGACTGGGAAGACCTGGTAGCCCAGCTCCCAGTGACCAAACCCGGGCGGAGAGTCTCTTGGCGAGGAAACCTTAAACTGATACTACTCCACCAGAATCTGTGACTGGGGCGGGGAATCGATATCTTAACCCCCCCAACACACACACACACACACACACACACACACACACACACACACACACACAAGATACTGTGTCTCACGAGGCATTTGAAAGATGTGGAAACAGGCCCAACACCCAGCTCCAATTCAGCCAGTGGGAGAAAAGGAAAAAGTGAGATTAAAAGGGATGTGTGGAGTTTATAACGAAAAAGGTATTTAGTCTGAGTAGTCAGGAAAGGTATCCTTCATACTTTAGATAACAGCAAAACTTTGATCACATCGAAGAAATATCTAGAGGTCATCTAACTATTCATCATTCCAAAACTCCCTGCATCAGTGTCCAAGACAAGGTGATATTCCACGTTCTGCCGAACCTTATCGCATTACTCTTTCCGATAGTTCACTTAATCTGAGCTGTACTGATACAACATTGCTTAGCCGTAATGTGGAGAGGGGAAGTTCATGCGTTTTGGAGATAGTCATGATTCTTAATTCCAGCTCTGCCATTTATTAGCTCTGTGATCTGTGGAAAGTTGCTTAATTCCTCCAGATCTCTGAATCCCTATGAGAAAAAGGAAGATGATAATAATAGTATCTACCTCATAGGAGTGTAATGTGCTTTAGAACAGTGCCTGTCATAACAAATTTACTTTCTATAATTAAGTAGTATTTAATGTAAGACTTACCTTGTTGAACTCATTCTCTCTCTCTCTCTCTCTCTCTCTCTCTCTCCCTCCCTCTCCCTTTCCTCTTCCCTCTCCTCCCCTTTCTTTCTGCAGATACTGTTTCCTTTACCTGGACCATCACTACAAAACAATCTTCCTTTTTCATCCCTAGAGTTGTCATCTTTGGTAATTCTTCCTGAACACCTTATCCTCACTCCATATCTTATATAGAGACCCCTTTGATGTATTACAGTCCACAGTGCACTGTTGGCCTGTATATGTATTAGTGTTGCAGCAGTGACAAATTATCACATCTGTAGTGGCTGGAAACAACATTTGTGGAGGTCTGAAGTTCAAAATTAAACTTACTGGACTAAAGTTGATATGGCTGGTTCCTTCTGAAGGTCTAGGTAGGGTCTAGGGAAGAATTTGTTTCCTTGTTTTATGGCTTCAGTTTTGTTTTGGGTTTTGTTTTTTTTTTTCCACTACTGGACCTTGGCACTGAGATATACACACATGTAAGACTCAAAGTCTTACTTCCACTCCACGGAGCGTGAGTAGCCAAAAGGCCTCCATGATGCTGAGTCCTATAGCCCAATGATGACTCTGGAGGAAAGATGCAGGGTGTTACTTCCGAAAGCTGTGAACAGCCAAAAGGGCCTCCACGATGCTGGGACCTATAGCTCAGCAAGGCTTCGGGAGCTTGATGGGGGAATGAGAAACCCAGGAAGGAACACACCAGGCTAAATGGTATACAGACCTTTATTAGTCTGGCCAGACGGCACTCTCAGAACCAAGTAGCTGGCTCAGAGAGGCGCCAGCTCGGGCTGAGGTCCTTTTTATATGGGGGTAAAAAAGGGGGTTCACATTTTTAGGCTTGCAGGCAGGGGACAAAGGTCTGCTGTTTTGAGCTGGTGGTAAGCAGCCACATATTCGACAGTCACATATTGATGAGTAACAGATACCTATAGGATGTTTCAAAGGTCAACAAGACATTCCGGATGAGCAAACAGTTCGACAATTAACTTGGGGTCTCTATGTCTAGAACCACTAACTTACATGTTAATTCGGATCAGTACTTCAAACAGTACAAGATTGCCTTACATTCCTAAGCCAGCATTAGAACAAAGGTCAGTGCTATGGCTACAATGGGAGGGGGTTAGAGCACTGTCTCCTAGGCCCTTTCTCATTTAGCATGGGCTTGTAATTCAAGTCTTACACACACACACATATGTGTGTATATATGTATCTATAATGTATACACATATATGTATAGATACATATATATAGTTGTGTGTGTAATATATCTATACACACACACACACACACACACACACACACACACACACTTTTTTTTTGAGATAACGTCTCCCTGAGTCATTAAATTGCCTGAGTTACTAAATTGGTGTGCTTGAACTTGCAATCCCCCTGTCTTGGCCACCCAGAATGCTGGAATTACAGGTCTGCACCAACCAACCCAGTGTGTTTGTCTGCTTTTCCTAGCTTTTGGCAACTTGGTTTATTCCCTGGCTCATATTCTCATCCTCTGTCTTCATAGTCAGTGGCATAGCATCTCTCAGTCTCTTCTCCCACCTTTCTCCTTTTCTAATACCAGAAGACACTAGCTAGGATGGAGTCAAGTGCTTGTATAAAAGGGTTGACTTGAAATTCAAAAAGCCTTAGCTATCTGAGCCAGGAAAAAAAATAGAGATAACTATAGATATGGAGATGTTGTAATGCAGTAATGAAAAGAGATGCAAGAACCCAAGAATGAGAGCTCTGTGTACTCAGCGGAGGAGGTTTTTAAATCACTAGCAAGAGTGGAGGATAAGGAGATGGAGTTCTGCATGAGCAATGAGCAGTCATCGATATTGAAGTCAGAGCTTCCTGAACTGGGGACTACAGAAGGAACACGGGCTTTGTACATTAAGAATTTAGGCTGTAGGACCAACCATGCTTTAAAATTATTAAACTCAAAAAAATAAAAGACTGTCACAGACACAAATGGCCATTAAACACATAGAACCTTGCCTATCTCATCAATAATCCAAGAAATCTGTTAAAATAATTTTGAGATACTATCAAATAAAAAGTAAAAGGAACTTTGCTCTATGTTAAGGCCTCCTGCCCCAGCTCTTAGAGGTGATTCACAATTTGAAACACTGTTGTAAATATATGTATAAGTATGAGTTCTGGCAGGTTTTGCTTATTTCTCATTAATGGGGATTAAACCCAGGATCTTGCAGTGAGCTACATCCCTTGCCTTATTTATTTATTATTTAATTTTATTTTGAGTTAGGGTCTCACTAAGTTGCCCAGGTTGACCTCAAATTTGTGATCCTCCTGCTTCAGTCTGTAAGTAGAGTGAGATGAGCAATTTTTGATGAGGTATTTTATTGTTGTTGTTTTAAAATAATTTATTGGGATTGTTTTGATAAAGCCAGGCACTTGCAGAAATCAAAATATAAGTAAACTGTATCTAATTAATGCAAAAGTATTTTAAAATTTTCAGCCAGTTTTTTGCCCAGTACATTGACAGCTGTTGATACAGATTAATACAAAAACAATGTAAGCTCCTAGGATCTGCCCAGCACCAGAGAGAGAACATCCTTTATGTGAGCAAAATCCATAGAGAAAGGGCTTGCTCTCTACTTACTTATCGCAGCCCAATGATGACATATCAGGAAAAATTACCTAGGTGTCCTAGGTACCCCAACAGTCTGGAAGGGCTAGATTCCAAACCTTAGGCTTTCAGCCATCAGGGTAGTGCCCTTGGCTGGGCTTCTAGAACTTTCCTGCTAGAAAGATGATAACAGGACAACCAGTGTCATGGCTCTCCCAGAGATGTTCAAGTATCCACTTCTCTAAATGAAAGGTTTTTATTTTTTTAAGCAGTTCAGAAAACTGTACGTATGCTGATTCCTATATATATATATATACTCATCAAAGGAAAAGTCAAGAAGGATTCTAACAAAAGTATTAACAATGGACATTTTTCAGCAGTAGGACAGAATTTTTTTTCCTTCTATGACCTTGTTTTTCTTTACCATTTGCTATAGTAATGAGAACAAAATTCATTTTAATACGAAAATATTGTACATATACCAAATCTTTTTTGTACCCCAAATCTTAAGATATGTGTCTACATGTTGTGAGCATGAGCCATGTGTCAATATCTTTACACATGCTTTTCGGCCCATTCATTTATGACCTTTCAGCTTCAACCTCAAGCTTGTCTACCATACCGGGACTGGGACTCCACAAACTACTTTGCCAGCTGGTAGTACCAATATAGGCCATTAGAGGGAGGTGGAAGGCAGGAGGAAAAGAGAAGTTTCTTTGTTCCCTTACTCCTGAGAGTGTTCCCCAGCAACAACTCCAGGTAAGGCCAGTTCCAGTCCGACTTTTTGACATTTCTCAGAACTATTTTTAACAGACACTAGAAGCACCTGATGGTATTACCTCCTTAGAGATGAGTCCCCAGTTATTTGCCTTATTTCCCAAGCTACAGGGAAGTAACTGCTTTTGCATGTATCTCTGTGTTACCTTAGTGTTGTAGTTTTGTATTTCAATTCTTAATCCATTTAGCCAATTCCCTGTATTCCTTAAATTCTCTTTATCACATGAAATACACATGAAATTGTTTTTTTTAACTGAAGGTCTTTGACTGCTGTATTTGGAACCAGAAGAGGTCCCAGGACATAGTTTTGAATATAGTGTTTTGTAGGTGGTGTGACTATGTCCTTAGTTTTGAGCACAGTAATGATCTCTTCACCCAAGAGAGACAAGATATGAGAAGCCCATAGTATGCTTATTATAATACTGTAATGTATCATCATGCTTCATCACTCAAGGGCACTTGTGATGAAAAACTTCCTAAAGTTCTTTGAGGAACAGATTACCTTTACTCTAGCAGTGATGCTTCTGAGCTCACTGAAGAGCCTTCAGAAAATGGCAAGCTTGGGTCTTCACCTCCTAGTTCAAATTACAGAAGAACAGCCCTAAAGAAATGACATATCTTAGAGTATCAGGGCTGATCTTAACTGAAAATTCAATTCTGTGGGTTGCAGATTTACAAAGTAAA